CTTTTCCTCATCTCAAAAATCTCAAATTTCCTTTGTGTAATGCCTAATGCCTCCTAAATGCATTTCAAACGTTTTTTTCACTAAAACTTTATAGTTTATCTGTCATTTTCTCTACCCTGTCTCAAAACGGGATCAGTCAATTCGACAAACCTCGTAACTACCAAAAACATTGAAATAAACCTAAATTACCCCCCCCTTTTTTTCTTTCTAAAATGAATTCACATTGTAACAGGAAACTACATTCATTTATCTCAAGTAGCTCTAAGTTTGGAACAGTATACATCTATGTATGTATGTATATATATACGTTATACTATTGAATTACATTACCCACGAGCTGCTCCCGTGGACCATTTTAATTATATTATTATTTTATTTTACCTAATCTAGTCTTAAATAACTTTAAAAGATCTGTACTTTTAGATTTTAGTTACTTTTATGATAATAAATAAAGAATAAATATGAAAACAAGAAATAAAGTACTAACCCAATCTTCTTTTTTCTTGCTCTCGATTGTCAAGAACAGTTAAGCCTGATTTTTTATAGTAATGATAGTTATGCACTTAATAATTTTTATTTAGTTAAATAATTCACCAAAGAATGTGGATTAATAACATGCAAAAAGTAGACAAATTCACTTACCTCTCAAAATTTTCCTTGCTGTTGAACTATGCGACGAGCTGTTACAAATTAATCCAAGCTAGTCATTAACTTTCCCATGGAATCGAATCTTGTACTGTGAGTGAAATTGATGAAATTTTGTTCAGAATACAATGGTATACAATACATCATTTGATAGATGAAAACCTTGACTTTCTATTGGTAAAAGGTAATATATAATGAAACGTAAGAGAGAACTATCAATGAATTGTGAAACAGAAGATGTGACAGGTGGGTGTGGCAGGAGAGCTCTGATTTTTTATTCGATAGCTCTGTAACCAAACAAAATTGAAGGCTATAAAAATTATGGTTTGTTTGAGCAATAACGATTTTATAGAGAGTATTTTACATTTAATTTCATACATTTTCAAGGGGTGATGAATAAAATAGGGATGATGACGTGCTCAGACAAAATGTGTTATGTGAGTCACACTAGTGAAAATTCAGGATTTTCTTTTATATTGCCTTGTAAACTATTGTATAATATTAAAATTTGGATTATTAGCTAAGATTTTATGCTATACTAATTCGTATAACATAAACAAAAAGTAGTTTAATAAAATTTTGAATGTAAGACACTAAAACCTTGTGTCCTGCGCAGTAAATGGTACCCTGGGAGATAGGGTTAAATGTGTTTTCATAGAGTTCTTTATAGGCATTTTTGAAAGGAGTGTTGTTCTTCAGATGGTCAGTCTGTAACAAATTGATTTTTTCTAAACTGTTTTGAATTTTTGTATGTGAGAGTAAAGATGACCTACTTTTGTCTTTAATAGAAAAGTATTTTCTGCACACTGATTTAGTTTCGTATGAATTAGAAACTCAAATTACCGATATTAACAAGCTAGAATATAAAATAAGAAGGTCTTATCTTTTCTATTTGCTGAGATATTGCTCATGTAATAAATCAAACACAGTGACACTCTGCTCACCTCTTTTCATTTTTGGAAATACTCCCTTATATATACTTACTTCTATATATGACATGAATAACCAATCGGAGGCTCAGAATATCCACCTAGTGGCTTTCTCAGCCATTTTAAATTCTTAATGTTAATATTAATGGACTTGGATGCCATTTCTTTCTTTTGAACCAAGATTTCAAGGAGTTAGAGTGTGTCATGTCAATAAGCTTGGTATCAAACAAAAAGCTTGGAAACCACTGGTGTAGCTATATTGAACTATTTCTGAAGCTTTGGTGGTTTTAACTTTTTGTAATT